TTCCTTCTCTTTTCCTCAAATCGCCACAGTTCTCAGTGTGACGAATGTACGCTTCCTCTCTGAGCAAATAAACGAGAGAGTGTGTGTTTGCTGGTCGGTGCTTACGTACGTGTTTGTGTGCATGTTGGTGCATAGGTCAATGGTTCCCTGGTACAAAGAGAGACAAATTGGCGAACAGCAACGTGCGTTTTGCTCCTCCCTTTTGGAAAGTGTTTCGATTTGGCAAGAGTTTTACGGTTTGGCAATAGTTTTACGCTGATTGCAACTGCATACGGCCACAAGTATGAGCGCGCTCGGAAGGTTTTAGATCAATCAACAAATTATATTTTTTTCCTAGATAAAAGTGGACTAAGATAGCCTAGGATTCCCTCGATCCCCTGTCTGCAGTTAGCAAGTGATTAGAGGGCGCCTCTGGCTGTGTGTTTTTTCTCTTCTTCTTTTCTTTCCGTCTCTTGATTCTGTTCGTCCATCTAGTTTTTTCCGCGCATTAAAATTGTTTTTTTTTGGTCTCCTGTTTCTATTCGTCTATCTTGTAGTTTTGTTTTCCTTGCACTAAATGTGAGGCAACGTGGTGGAATCAGGATTTCGTCAAAATAATCAAAGTGAAGAAACTTGCATTTTTCCTCAGGTTTGTGAATTTTTATCAAATTTTATATTTTGGCTCAACACTTTTCATGCCCATTAAAGAACTAATTTCTGTGTGGATCTTTCTGAAAAACGTTGATTAAAGACACAGAAAATGTAAATGTTCAGTTACCATGGACTCTTAAGCTAGGGAAATAACTAATCTTTGGCTGCCATTTTCTAACTAATTTTACCTCTGAAAACAGATGACCCCCACCTCATTCATTCGCAAATATCTCTTTTTAAGATAAATGGATATTTTGTTCATCCAAATAAACACAATTGATCAAGTTTTACGATGATACCAAAAATAATACATGCTCAAAAATTGACGAGAGCCTAGCTGATTCCACCACGCTGCCTCACAAATGGTCGTTATTGTGTTGATGTGTGTCTGCGTACTCGAACAGAAATGTAACAGTTGTTGGTAGATATAAAAACAAACAAATGCAATGAGTTAACGGATTGGTGGGCTCTCCTGGGTGGTGTTTCGTTGTTGGAGGGTGTCTCTGAAAAACCTACTTTTTTCCTTTCCCTCCGTTGTTTTAAAAAATGTTGTGGCTGCTCCAGACCCAGCAGTAACCAAAAGTGGGTGGTCGGTGGGCGCTCTGGTGTGGTTTGCTCCTTCTTTCCAAATGTAAATCTTCCTTAACTTTCCTTCCTTTCTTTGTATGTTACTCTGTTTAATCTTTAGCAGCCTATTAGCCTATACAATTTTGTTTTACAAGTGCTGTCAAACTCTTACTTAAATATTAGACCCACTACTAAACGGCGGATATCACATTCATCTGGTTTTGTTTCCTCAAACTAAACGAAGTGGTCTGGGTTCAACAAGGGAAATATCTGCTGCGTCAGGGAAGCGAAAAAGCTTTCTTGTTTTGGTTGTTTGTTTTTTTCAAAATGGAGCATGCTGTTTGTTTGTTGGGGGTTTTTTTCCTTAGGATGTATTCAATCGTATTTTCCCCCGTGTCATCGATACACTGTCGATCAGTTAAGAGACGGACTGCTTCAAACTAGCCTGTCAAGGCCAGCCCGTGCTGTGCTGTGTGGCGTGTAGGGATACTCCGGAGACTTTCCATAAATAAACTTGTCTACGCGTGGATTGAACGTACGTTTTTTTATTTTATTTTATGTGCATCAGCGCCTACCCTACCCGTTTCAGCGAAGACGCAGGTAGGCCGCCTAAAGGTTTCTTGAAAGGCGGCATGATTGTGGTGAAAATTTAAAAGGAAGAAAGACAACAAAAGACGACATGTCTTCTTTCGTCTCGCGCGTGGCAATAACTTGTGAATAAGGAACAGAATGCCTAGCTGGCGCGTGGTGCTTTTGTCGATATAGGCCAACACAAAGCTGAACAGAACGATTTAAGAAAATATTTTGAAAAAGAAGAAAAATGCGAAGAAAAAGAAGAAGAAGAAAAAACGTGAAAGAAATTGGAAAAGAAAATGGAAAAATAAGGCGTGTGGAGATTTACGTGAAGAGATTATCGCTGTCAGTCGCAGGCCTTTGTTGAGGTAAACTTCAGCGGTCTGTGGCTTTTTGGCGGGGTTGAGATTTATTTGTGCTACGCTCTTGGGTGTCTGAGGAAGGAAGGAAGGAAGGAAGGAAAGGTGGAAGGGAGTTACCCTTTATCTATCTTTATTTTTCTCTCTCCTTCTTTTGTTTGCTTTATTTTGTCCTCTCTCTCTCTCTCTCTCTCTCTCTCTCTCTCTCTCTCTCTCTCTCTCTCTCTCTCTCTCTCTCTCTCTCTCTCTCTCTCTCTCTCAGTCTCACATTTTATATGTCTGTCTGTCTGTCTGTCTGTCTGTCTGTCTGTCTGTCTGTCTGTCTGTCTGTCTGTCTGTCTGTAACTCTCTCTCTCTCTCTCATCTCTATCTCTCTACTCTCTCGCTCTCTCCCTCTCTCTCTTTCTCTCTCTCGCTTTCTCTCTCTTTTCCGCTCCCTCTCTTACTCTCTCTCTTCCGCCCCCTCTCCCCAACTCTCGCACTTTAAATGTCTATCTGTCTGTCTGTCTGTCTGTCTGTCTCTCTCTCTCTCTCTCCCTCTCTCTCTCTC